TCCGTAAATATGCGACATATATTCAAGACCTTTCTGAACGAGCTCCAACACAAACAACGCGGATAACTTCGGAGTGTGATGTTTAACTGAAACTATCGCCCCAGCATTTAATAAACCATCACTTGCCTATCTGTCTGCTCCAGGAGTGTAGAATTACAGTTGTTACTTGTTTTTGCAAAACTGCTTGCCAATTTCCTAATGCATGTTGGCCTTTTGTACAAATATTAATTGTCCGTCTGAAAACTTGGAAACGGGTATTATTTGTCTCTCGCTTTCCAGGGGCTTCAAATCACATCTATTTGATCAGTCCAGGACAAACTGTTTTTTATTCAAGTGATTCATCAAACAAGCTAAAACGGATACAAAGAAATAATAAGATAACGTACTTCAGTGTATTTTACCAATCTACGCTGGAAAACTAATACTGGGGGTTAGTTTGAAGAAAAAAAATTTAGTAAAATGCCTTCAACAACAATGCTTAGAATTCAGACCAAAAGCTTTAGTGAATGCTAGTTGTTTGCTTAGATTTACATCACTCTGTGGTCTTTAGCCTCCTCCTATCAGCACCATGTGGAACAGAATTTAACTGTTTCAGAGAGATGCCGGTCTTAGTTCGAGTCTAAGGATGTAATTAGATGAAAATCATAGGCTTAATCTGCAGTTATCATCCACTGCAGTTGATAACACTACAGACTGCTTTGCTGCTCTCTACCATGGAATTATACGAAAAGCAGAGACATCATTTTTACTATCATTTTGTCTACTCCTTATCAAAACCACAGAACACAAAATGACACGGTCAAGAAGGCATTTGCCAAAGCGACTGCAGCCGGATCAAATCCGTCACTGCATCGCTGATGAACGGCACCAACTCCTTACCACTAACTCACTTGGGCGACTCAGGGATGTTTCTGGCAGGTTAAGTCTGCAGTTTCACGTTTGCAGCACACTGCGTGTCTCCGTAACTAACCTGTTGCTAGATCTAGTATCATCTGTCCTCGCACAGACGGCACGATGCTGGCAAGGAAAAGCCCTGATGTCAGCACAAAGCCGGTATCTGTATCCTCTCGTGTGACACAAACGTAGCTGCATAGCCCAGCTTGATCTAGACCACGCTGGTACTGCTGAGAGATCCAGCAATGTCTAGTTAGAGTATTACGAAATCATGGCCTGAACTAGTCCTAAATCTACAAAACAGGAGGGGGGAGGGTGCAGGCCAGAAAGAATAAAATGAAGGGTTAAGGGTATTCTCTTCGTGAGTTTTTATTCTCTTCGTGAGTTTTTATGTGGGGAGAACTCCTCACGCCTGTTCCCCTCTCTTGACCATGACACTCATTTGTGATCCTTCAAACTTTAGAAATAGAGCAAGAATCCTCACTTACAAAGAAACAGCAGCTGCTGCTACTCTTAGCACTATGCTAACCTTCAAAGGATGAGGACTATTTTACCACTAAGCGAGATCAGCTAGATACAGGTAGTCCAAGAAATAAAAGTGGGGGGGGAAAAGAAAAAAAAAAGAAGAAAAAGAGTTGTCCTGCCAGCTGGCCACACGGCTGCATAAACCGATGGCTTTGCAAAGACAACCAGGCGGTGAGAGGAATTGTCCCAACACCTGCCCGCTTCCATCTGGCCTCCTCAGCCCACAAAGAGGGAGCAGCTAGCAAGTTCTTTCCATTATTTTAACGATCAGCAGCCTTAAACACTGCGCTACTTCAAAGGGACACGGCAACGAGGTGGAAAAGCAGTGTACACTGCAAAGGGAGGGGCTGATGAAGTTCTGAAACAGCGTCACAATGAAAGACAGAAGAAGAAAACCGTTTTGATGTGAGGCCCGCTCGCTTGCCCTAGTTTTTAGAACCCTGACAGCCAACAACAACTATAGCTCGTGTGCAGAGCAGCGTTTTGAAAAATACTTAAGGGCTTGGTTCTTTCCAGAAACACTCCAGCGGAAGCACCATGAAAAAGCTTTAGGGCACACAGCCTTTTTTTTCCAGGTCAAAATTATTAAAGCTAACGCAGCCCTATTTTCCAAGTTGAGGCTGCATTTTCAAGACAGAGAATGAAAGACATCCTGTAAAAACGTTGGCCTTGAAATAGGATTAATCCCAAAGCAAGAAGGTGAGTATGCAGCGTGCACACGAGAAAGCTGTGTGCACAGAAGGAAACTGAGCACTGGCCTGGCAGGGGCAGTCAAAGTGGGTTTTTTGTTTGGGTTTCCTTTTGTTTTGTTTCTGTTGTTGTTTTGTTGGGGTTTTTTGCATAGTACATAGAAAACACTACCAATAGAAAAACGGTTTTTTCACCCTCCTTCTTGCGCAGCTGCATTATTTCAACAACCTCCTTCGAGCCTTCAGTTTCACCTGAATTAATGCTGTAAGAAATCCACCTCCACACACCTTCACGGAAGGAACCTTACTCTTTTTTAACTTGCACTGGCAGACCGAGGGTGCAGTTTTATGAGGTAAGCAGAATTAAAAGGGTGTAAACCAAACATGAATAAATTGGGAAGCAAGCATTTAGTCTAACAGACTACTGCACGCACCTACTGCTAAACCAGCACTGAAAACTCGCTCGTGTGGTAGAAGCAACCTGACTGACTGGCAAAGGTCACGCTCAAGTTGTACGCAAGTGAAAACTTCTCTCTCTATACAAATTCCCCCAATTATCGACAGCACACCATTCACTGAGACCTGAAACGGCCTATTTGCAACAGACATAAAGAGTTCATAAAAATCACAAAGGCTGCGAATAAACCAGCACAGCAACTCTGCGCAAAGAACAGCAAATCCAATGAAGCCCACTTCATGTACTAACCATCCAGTGTCCTGACAGAGCTCTTAACCCACATGAGGTAGTTTTTGACGATAAGTTTCTGGGCCTTCTTTATCACAGAATCACAGAAGATCATCTAGTCCAGCCCCCCCGCCAGAGCAGGGTCACCCACGGCCAGGCGGGTTTTGAATGTCTCCAGAGAAGGAGAGTCCACACCCTCCCCGGGCAGCCTGTGCCAGTGCTCTGTCACCCTAACAGTGAAAACACTTTCCAAGAAATTGCACTTCTTTTGTGTTTTTTTCCAACTACAAGAAAGACATACCTGGTTTAAGGCCTTGCCCAGAAGCTTCAGTCCATCCTGTTCCCAAGCTGCAAACCAGAACCTATTCCACATGAACCATGCCAAAAGGTGACGAGGACTTTTATTCTTCCACTGCACACAGTATCAGCTCCCCCTACTGCCTGGCTACCAGCCAGAAAACTTACACTGCCTTGGCCCCCGCGTTTTTTTAGCACCTTCAGCTGAGAGATAATGATAACATGACATTCAGAGAGATCTGTAACACTCTAACTCCGTTCTACTTTTGGGGTGTTTGTTTGGCAATGCTAGGAAAAGTAACTTAGAAATGCCAGTGCTTCTGATTGTATGGAAAGTAAAGAATTTGTAGAACAGGATCTACTAAGTGAAGGTCAGAAACTATACAGATATTAGAGGCTTGATTTTATTTTACAGAAATCTTACTCTTATGGAGTATTTTGAAACATACCATCAATTTCATTAAGTGTAGACATCTTTGAGATCTCAGTCACTGTCCAATCCAGCAATAAACTGACAGGTTAAGATACTTCTTCCATTAGCACAATAACAAATAAGTTACAGCAGCTACTGTAATGCAAGAGTGTGGCTAGACGTAGGAACCGAAGCACCATGCCCATCTGCCTTATGCTGAAAAACAGCTATATAATTCGGAATTAAAAATACTAGTAAAGACTACAGACACCTGACCCTACCACAAAAGCATGTAACTGTCGAGGTTCTTACCATTGTCTACATCCGCCTGCTACTCCACCTCCTTCTCTCATTGCCAGAGCTAAACACTATTCTCGAATGTCAAAACGCCCACATTTTAAAAAAACACTTCTTATTGTCAAAGATTAATGAGCACTAACAGTTAAAACACCAATCATCCCAGTTCTCCACTATGACAAACACCTGTGAGAGCAAAGAACACAAGCAATGCCTTGCCCTCTATCCCAGTTTCTGCTTCTGTAAGGAACAAAAAACAACACAACCTCATCTTTTACACGACCAGGCTTGCACAGACTGCTGTGCCAAGGGACACTAGCGTGCAGAGTTTCACCACAATGTACGTCTGCTGCCTTCAGATAAATGCACAGCGAGGCAAGCAGTGAATCTGAACAGACTTAGAGGAAGTGTCTACAAGTCCTTTGTGGCGTAAAATACTCGCACTTTACCTTTAGGATGTAGATTAAAAAAGAGATTTGACATACAGTGGAAATATTCGGTCTTTTACCATCACTCATTCTCTTCCACGGTGCTACTTACCTCTTCTTAGTAGGCAGAATAAGCAGCTGCTACTCTATTTCATTCATGAAAAAAGAGATGAGGAAAAAACAAAGGGCTGTCAGTCAACAGGAAATCCCCAGAAATGAGAGAAAACCTTGTCCTGCTAACTCGCTGTCTACTGCTCAAGAAATTGAGTACGACCGACTGAGAAACCAGCTATCAGAACTGTGAGGAGGATTGCCACGTGAACCACCTGGACATAGGAGCTCTATACCTAACTACTAATCAATCTCCATCCATCCTAATTAAACAAACCAGTAACTACAGCATCAGTCCATCCAGCCTTTTCCCTCTTCTCAAAACTTGTTGGTTAGCCCACAGGTCAGATCAGCTTCACTACAAGAATGCAGCTAAGATGAGTCACAGTTTCATACACTATTCATCGGACTGTAACTCAGGAGGCAAACTCGTGTTCCTGCACTATCCTAACTGCAAAACGACCACGCTCAAAACAACACCTCCCAACAGACATCTTTGTGCTGAGGAATCATTCTTTATGGCCAGAGTGTCAGTGCTTTATTTGGAAAATAAATATAATTCCAGCTGCAACATTCTACAGTAAGTACATCTCAACGCCAGGGCACCACGTGATTACCCACGCTGCATTTCCAGGACAGCTCTTCCTACAGTTCAGACAACATCACTTGTTCAAACGGTATCTGGCAGCCAAGGCAGACACGATATCCGTGTAAGGAGTATCGGAGTCAGATTTGGTCCTGGGGATGCGACACAGGCGGCGGAAGGTCGGAGAACGCAGCAGGAGGTTGTGCGAGAGTCCCATCAAGCTCGAGGACAGCCAGTACAACGTCATGGACTGCAACAAGACAAACAGCGAGTTCAGCCTCCCTAGATGCAAGCAGAACACTAGAGTTTTAGGCAGCTCATCACCAACCACAACCCCTGGTTACTCCCAGTTATCAAGGAAAATAACTCACCTAAAACCACTTCTCTCAATAACAATAACGGCTTCCATTTCAAAGGCATTTGTCACTCTTTCTCAACTCTTCTGGGAGAAAAAAAAGTCATCTACACTGAAACCTGACAACAGTTCGCAAAATAATTCACATTAAACTTGCTGAACTTCTGTATTTCTGGCTATAAGCTGAGGAGCCAAAGAACCAGGCAGTTTGGTTTTGCTGATCAGTGCAAAAACATCCAGAAGTAGAACACCTGGTAAAAACGAGCAGTGTTTTTGCAAGAATGAGGAAAACTGCGCAAAGAACGCGGAAGAATACGGAAAACTGTGCTGTTTCTCTCTTACAGCAAAAAAACACTTTGCAAACCTTTGTCCTGACACAAAGTTTTCCTCTCATTTTTGATATCATGAAAAAGGATGCTAACCCAACTCCCAATGTCCTTCCACACCCTCATCCGTGAAAATGATATTTAGTAGCAATAAGCTTGTGGAATCTTCCCTCCTGGACAAAAAAAAATAAATAAAAAATCCAGAAGCACTTGGAATTTAAGCGCATACACAGGGAAAACATCTTATTTGCTTTTAGGCACACCGTAACTGAGTACAGTCTAGTAAATGCACTGAGCATTGGGGTGCAGTTTAAACACCGGGCACACACAGAGTCACAGGTTACTGGGCACACCTTTAAGGGTCTGTACTTACAGAGGGAACTGTGGCAGCAACAGGGATCATTAGTACCGACACCACTCGAAAGAAATTGGTGACGAGCTTCTGGAACCTGGAAACTTTCATTTTTTGCGAAGTAAAGATCTGAAAGCGGAGAAAGACACATGTAAGCACAAGTTCTTTTTGAAACAACTAATGAGACAAGAAAGGCAACAGCAAGGTTTCCCGTAAATCAGTATTCCTGGTTGATACACAGCGTTCCCTTTGCATCACCCATTTCCACGAACACACTGTCACCACCTCTCATCTAACTTGGCTGCCACAGCTGGGCGAGAACGCAACAGGAGAAGAGTCAGGCCTACTGTCACAGTATCAGTTTCCCTAAGTCTCAACCGACACAACGTAGAAGACAATGGAGGGAGAATGAAATGCAAAGGGTTAGGGCTTGATCAGAACACCTAACAGAAAAAAAAAAATCAGTAAGGAAAACGTTTGCATTAAGTTACCCCCGAAATAGTGAATCAAGACCTGTTTTCCTTTTTCTGTTGCTGTTGATTAATCTCCCCAGCAACCTTAACAAGTTCAGGATTTTCTCAATTTATTAAGAACACATAATATTGTTAGTTTTGACCACCAAAGCAGGATCAAATAAATGGGGGGAAGGGTGGCTAGGTGGGGGTGCAGAACAAACCAAAGAACCCCACAGGTGCTTTTGGACGCTCAACACTCAGGAAGCTTGTCAGAACATGATTCTAAGAGAAACCTCAGAGGCAAGACTAAATTTTACCAAGGTGTATCTGAGAAATGTCACATCAGAACTGATCATCTCCAAACAAGACACTCATGCATTCGAACGCATAAAAAATGAATTATTTTTCAGCTCTGCCCAATGCATTTAAAGCAGTAGCAATCTGAAACTACCCTTACGTTAACATGTATTACAACTGGGAAATACTATCCTTCAATCCTCTAAGAAGAATTACCCTGTTGCAATCACCCTGTTTACTCCACAAACATACCTCCACTATCAGCAAATTCACGAGCCCAAGCAAAACTGGCAAAACCCACGTAGAATCTGGTGCCGTGAGGTCTGTAAACCACAATGCTCCACCTGACGAAAACTGTTCTTGAACTGCAAGAATAGTTTAAAGAAAATAGTGAATTAAGCGGGATTTGCTACCTCAAGTTAGTCAGAACTCTATCACTTCTTACAATGAAATCGTTCAAGTTTCCAGGTAGATTTTATCTACACAATAAATACTGTTAAAGTGGAAATCTTTGGTTTAACAGATCACATGTCAAGGCAGTCTGCTATCACTACAAGTGCACGATACAAGCCGAGATCCATCTCAGAGCATGACAGGCAAGGATTCAGGCAAACCTGCAGTGAAAACTAGCTTGATCCTAACCACCGCTTTACAAGACATGAGGAAAATACACATTCTGTGTGTTAAATTAATTATCTTCTACATAATAACTAGGTAACTTATTTATTTTTTTAGAATCACAGAATTGTTGAGGCT